TATAATCTATAATCTATAATCTATAATCTATAATCTATAATCTATAATCTATAATCTATCATCTATAATCTATAATCTATAGTCTATAATCTATAACCTTAAATCTATAGTTTCGGAATCTGGGAAATATTCTCCAAACATAACAAAAACAATCGCAAAATATTGCTAAGTTAATATTATCATTACAACGGACCCTTACCCTAAGAGCCACTCATTATTCAGATAAGTCTATGAAAACACACAGGTTCTAGTTGTAGCTGCTCTTTAGAAACGCTTGAGATCAAGTAATTGTATAAAATCATTTAAGGCAATAACTTCTGCTGGGTGCCTAAAACCTGAATAGCACGCACTTTTGCTATATAAGGTGTCTGCAGTAGTTAAAAAATATTGTAAATCTTTACGCATTTATATTATTAATCACAAGACCTTACATTGCGCACTTGAAATTAAGGTTTCTATTAATTTCTTTTATGGTCCTAAATAAAATTCCTCGTAATTGAGTCCATCATACGACAACCCCTCAACATTCAACGCCCACTTGTTGTACAGCCAAAAGGTGATGCTTGTTACTGCTATTGAAACGCCTTTCCGGTTAAGCTTGACACGCGTCCCAGGGTTACGAGCATTGGTCATACAATACAAATACATACAATACAAACTCACGTAGATCACGTAGGGGGTGCATACATACAAACGGCGCCTGTATATCATATATCCATAAAATAACTTTTGTCCAGATTCGCTGTTGCATGACTCAGTTGTAGTATACGGTTTATTTATACACAATATTTTTGTTTTTATTGTTATCCTTGCCATTGTGCTGCTTGTTGTTGTTGTTTGCCATTTGATTTTGTTGTAGTTTTCACTCGTTATTTTCGCATGAAAGCGCCTCGAGTGAATAATGGCAGTGCAGGCAGCTACCAGCGGCCCGGCCATAAAGCGAATTGAAACGAAACGAACGTGGCGAGACGAGCCAGCGAGCGAACGAACGAACCGCAACTAATGCCCGGCGACATGTGCAATTCCGATTAATACTCGTTGATAAACAAGTTATTTTAATTAATCGCTAGGTGTTGCTGAAACTGAAACACTGCTGCAGCGCACACAAACATCCTCGCAACTACACACATATACGTACAAATGCACACACGCTGTTTGTGTAGAGAAGTTATAATATTGTGATTTAGCCAACGTAAATTCTCAAGCGCTGATATGTGTGTGTGCGTTCTCTATAAAGTAGATTCCTGTTCAATACTCGTATATTTTTGTTAGCATGTTTGGTATGCTTTTATGTGCTCACGAAATTGTTTAGTTACTCAAAAATTTAAATTTATGAATTTATTTCAGCTAAAACTCCATTTGATTTTATAATCAAATCACTTTTGATGTAAATATTGAATACATGTGTCGTATAGGTGCACTTCTTAAAGCTAAAAGGGGATAAAAAGATCTTATCTTGATTTTGATAAATCAGTTTGTATGGCAGCTATATACAATAGTGGCTCGATCTAAGTAGTATTTATGGAGATTATAGCGTTGGCTTGGATAATAATGCATACCAAATTTCAGAAAGATATCTCGTCAAATAAAAAAGTTTTTCACACAAGCAGTGGATTTGGATCATTCAGTTTGTAGGGAAACCCTAGGACATAGTTGTCCAATATAAGTAATTGATTCAAAGATTGTACTGTTGTCTAAAACAAAAATTAAGTGTAAAATTTCGTAAAGAGATGTCAAATAAAAAAGTTTCCAATACAAGGACATTATTTTGATCGTTCGGTTTGTATGGCAGGTATATGTTATAGTGAGCCGATATTAACGTTTTCAATAAATCAGCAGCTGCTTCGGGAGAAAAAGTTATGTGCAAAGTTTCAGATCGATTTGAGCTCTTTTAAGCAATTTTTTCAATCATATACTTGACTGGTAGGTTGACAACTGTCCAGCAGTGCGTATACTTACCATCAGCAGAAAATGCAAAGTTGAATATGTAGCACTAAGAACGATGCTTTGAAAATTAATAAATAATATACAAATGAATTAGTTTTAGCATCCCAAAATTAACGAGAAACAGCCTCTAACATCACAGTCGCAAACTGACTATAAACTAGTGTAATCATCAAGTGAGTTTATTAATATTGTAACTTCACTTCGAATTTCGCTAATTTTGTTCTCGGTCGAATTTCTGTATATCTTGAACTCAGCAGTTAGATTATTGAGATCTTTATTGAGTAGATTTCGAAAATCGTATTTATTTTATACGTGATATTATATAACTTGTTCCTTTTAATCTTATTATTATTCTTTGACACTTCAACCGTCGGTCTGGGCCGAGAACACAAACTTCGCCAGTTACCTCTATTCTTTGCGAGGTCTGGAAGCATGGGCGCCTTTACTTTCGTTCTCCAGCCATGGAGCTTCACCTACCATGTGAACCACATGCGCTTAACTATATCCATGTCGCCGTAAAGCTCATACAGTTCTTCAGTGGATCCATTTCGGACGGCTCCTAAGACCCTGCGGGACTTTCGAATGCTTTCTCATCTCAGTTCGTCATCGTCCGTATTTTTAACTCCAATCATTTACGTCCCGTTAAGCCAAAATTGAGAAGCCGAAGTGCGGAGAAGGCGAAGAGCAACATCAACAGCAGAGTTTATATTCTAGCGAGGTTTATGAAGATGGGAAAGAAAAGAGAAAAGCAAAGATTGAGTATAGAAAAAAAATAAAGAAAAGAAGAAGGACAGAGTTTAGAAAAGGAAAGTTGGAACAAAATATAGAGTAGAGATAATAGAAAATATGGAAAAAAATAAAGTAGAGAGAAGAAAAAAGATAGATAAAAAACAGAGGAGGGTATAAAATATATAGTCAATCGCCTTAGTAGAGGGTTTAGGAAAGAGATGAGAGAGTAGAAAAAAGAGAGGTAGTGATATGGATAAGTGAGAGAGATACAGTTACACTACTTTATATTTGATTTATATTAGTGATATTAGTGAGAGAGAGAAAGGGATATAGGATTACAATACTTAATAATGTGCCAATTGGCTTTATTTGTTTGCTGGAAAATAGTTAAGTGGGTCTTCATAGTGTTGCCTATTTAGAAGTATTTTCAGTAAAGTCAACAATATTTATATATATTGTATAAAAAATTAATTAAGAAAATAAGAGAATATCAAATACTAATCTATAGAATTAATCACTTGTAAAATGAACAACTCTTCATGTACTGTTACATTTTCCATAGCACAACAAATAATCGAAAAGCACACATTTTACCGCAGTTTCATGACAGCGCTCCAAGCTCCACTAACGCAATTATAACCCAATTTGGCCGCAGAAATCTCCCAGGAATTGCATTAAGTATTTATTCAAATTTTCTACATAAATTGCAATTTCACATTTAAAAATGTCCCACTACGATGGCGATTAGTATGTGCTTAGTATACTTTTGTTGTTAGTCCAATAAAAACCAGGAGAGTCATACATTATGTGGCATGCAACAAGCACGATTATTGCTGGAGAGAGGGGCGAATACAAATAAGATTACTGCACACAAGTTAGATGGAATAGAAAATTGTATAAATACTGCCAAGTTATGAGTAATGAACTGACGAGCAGCGGAAAACAAGTGGACAGCCGACAGCGGATAAGTTAAAAGCGGTTTTACATGCCACACACGTCAAAAGCGGTTGGGGAGCACAAAAGTTAGATACTGTCAAGAGGAGCTGAGTATGTTGTAGGAACGGTGAGGCGAAGCAGGCGCGGGTTGGCTTAAAAGCTTAATGAATACGCTGGCGTTGCATGCAACCAGTAACAATGTTTGTTGTTGGTTGTACGAGGTTATAAGCAGGTTTACAATGTTTTGATTCATTAAGCGCAAATATTTTGAAATAAGGGCGTAAAAGAGGAAATGTTTGGGGTCGCGCCGCGATTGTCAATCTAAATGTTGTGCATTTGCGTGCAGCCAATGGATTATAACTGCAGAAACCATGCAGAAAAGCAACAACAAGCAGTGTATTGTGCGCTGATGACAATCAGACAATGCGCGTGAAAAAAAATGACACTTCGGGTTACGGGTGGCGCACACCAAGCGAGTGGCCTAAAGTCACAGCGTACGGTCAGTGTCGTCAGTGGACTCATTCAGCGCGGTCAGTCAAGCGGAAGTTGAAACGCGGTAACAGTGCGCTTTAGTGCAACGCGTCACGCACAACAATTTCCGTTTGCAATAAAAATAATTTCACTTTCCCCACGCCGTAAGAGTGCAAAGCGAACGCAATGCATGTGGAATGTAACGCGCAACGCGTTCTGAGCGCGCGAATGCCCACCGCCGCTCTATTGCTGGCGGCATTTATGCTGCAGCGCTTCAGCGTGTGCGTTGCTATAGCTGTAGATACGGCGGATGGTGGCAGCAGTAAGCTACAGTTTGAGCAGCCAGCTCAACCGCTGCAGGATCACACGCAGACGTATTATTTGCCAAATCGCACGGGAATTGTGCAACTCTTCGAATGGAAGTTCGCCGATATAGCGACCGAGTGTGAACAGTTTTTGGGTCCGCATGGTTATGCGGGTGTACAGGTGTGGCGCGCTTTCAATTTATTATTCCTATTAGGTTTACTGTATGCCGCTAATGCCTCACGTGCACTTACAGGTTTCGCCCGTTGCGGAGCATTTGGTTGTGCGTTCTGAGTCTCTGCAGCAACCGTGGTGGGAACGTTATCAACCGGTCTCATTACAAATTGTGTCGCGCTCTGGCGGCGAAGCGGAGTTTCAACAAATGACACAAGCTTGTAATGCCGCCGGTGTGCGCGTCTATGTCGATGTAGTGCTCAATCATATGGCAGGCGCTTACAATGAGGCGACAGCTAGTGGTCAGCAGTTGCTTGAGGGTTTTGCCGGTTCGACTGCCAATGCCAGTTCGTATGAATTTACTGCGTTGTCATTTTCTAGTCGTCACTTTCATAAACCATGTACGTTGACGAATTATCTGGATGCGCATGTGGTGCGCAATTGCGAGCTTAATGGTTGGCCCGATCTAAATCATTATCGTCTGGATGTACGCGCAAATTTGACGGATTTTCTGAATCGACTAGTGGACTTAGGTGTAGCGGGTTTTCGTGTGGATTCGGCGAAATATATTTGGCCCATTGACATTAAGGTGAGTGTGTGGTGAAATGAACGTGTGCAAAATTTCAGATCGATGTCTCAAAAACTGAAGGACTATTTAAATCGGACACGACTTTATCGACTCAGCTCGTCATGCTGATCATTTCTATGTATATTTTGTAAGGTCTCTGACGTTTCCTTCTACTTAACGTTTCCTTCAATAATATATATAGGGTAATATTTTAAGTAACTGCGTACATTCTTGGGTCCTTTTTTAAGGCACTGTAGATATTTTGTAATGCGCGGATTTCGTTATGTTAAATTCTATGGCACAGACAGTCAAACCACTGAAAAGTTTGTCATATAATTATACTCTCGCAACCTGTTGCTACAGAGTATAATAGTTTTGTTCACCTAACGGTTGTTTGTATCACCTAAAACTAATCGAGTTAGATATAGGGTTATGTATATATAAATGATCAGGATGAAGAGACGAGTTGAAATCCGGGTGACTGTCCGTCCGTGCAAGCTCTAACTTGAGTAAAAATTGAGATATCTTTATGAAACTTGGTAGACATGTTTCTTGATACCGTGAGACGGTTGGTATTGCAGATGGGCGTAATCGGACCACTGCCACGCCCACAAAACGCTATTATTCAAAAACAAATAAATTGCCATAACTAAGCTCCACAACAAGATACAAGACTCTTATTTAGTATACAGGATCACAATAGGGAGGGGCATCTGCAGTTAAAATTTTTTTTTTGAAGTCGGCGTGGTCCCGCCCCTAATAGGTTTAATGTGCATATCTCTTAAACCGCTAATGCAATAATAACAAAATTCACTAGAAGCAAATGTTTTTAGAACCTCTACCTACAGTGTGAAAATGGGTGAAATCGGGTGGCAACTCCGCCCACTCCCCAAATAACCGTACTGTTAAAAACTACTAAAAGCGCGATAAATCAAGCACTAAACACGCCAGAGACATTAAATTTTATCTCTAAGATGGTATAAGATGACTTTATAGGAACCGCGTTCAAAATTAGACAGTGGGCGTGGCACAGCCCACTTTTAGGTGAAACCCATATCTTGAGATCTGCTTAACCGATTTCAACCAAATTCGGTGCATAACGTTCTTTTCATATTTCTATGTCATAGTGCGATGGGCGAAATCGGACTACAACCACGCCTACTTCTCATATAACACCATTTTAAATTCCATCTGATTCTTTCACTTTCCACTATGCAAATCAGGCAACAATGACTGTATCGGGATAAAACTTTGCATGAATAATGCGATTAAAGTATGCCACCTTGTGGCCAAAAATTATCTAAATCGAACCAAAACTGTTCAAGCCCCTAAGTACTATATATGTGGACCCCAGTGCGAGTATACCATTTGACTTTGCGAGAGTAAAAAATGTTCGGTTACATCCGAACTTAGCCCTTACTTACTTGTTATTGTAATTTATGATCCCGGTTTTAGAAACAGGCTAGTAATTTGGAGAAAAAATACAAATTTATGCTTGAAAATTTGTGGAGGTAAAATATCCCTTGGTTTAGAGGATATACTTGTATTTATACTATTATCAATTTAACGCCAGTAAATTAGACGTTATGAAAACTGCACATTAGTTTCAGCTAAGGCTATCATCCTTTGTAATAATTTTGCAAATAAATTTTGATATCAGTATCATCTGTCAGATGAATTAATCTATTCAAATTATTTTCTTTACATTTGGGCATTTTCAGTTACTATTCCAAGGCGTTAAAAATCTGAATAACGAGGCTTTTGATTTTCCCGAAAACGCGCGACCATTTGTTTACCAAGATGTCGTAGATTTGGGAGTTGACTCCGTGTCAAAGTAAGTATATAAAGTAAATTTTAAATCGAAAAGGAACTGCATGAGCAGAGATCAAAGATTTAATATTTTAAACTTTTACTTATTTTCCTTCTAGAACGGAGTACTCCAGCTACGGCATGGTCACTGACTATTTGTATGCCGCCGTATTAGCCAACATTATCAACGGCAAAGCGCCGCTGAGCACACTAATAAATTGGGGCCCGGCAATGGGCTTCCTGCCACATCAGCAGGCGCTCGTCTTCGTTGACAGTCATGATGGACAGCGAGACCATAACCTTTTGGGCGCTAATCAGCTGATCTCCTACAAACAACCAAGGAAATATATCATAGCAACCGCATTCATGTTGGCACATCCATATGGTCGGGTTAAACGGATTATGAGCTCATATTACTTTGCTGCACAGCATCCAGAACAAGGACCGCCATTCGAAGAAGACAAGCAGACAGAGGCTGATGCTGAGGCAGATGCCAGTGAGGTAGCGGAAGAGAATGTAGAACCAGCGGAAGGTGACGAAGAGGCAGTTGAGGTAGCTGAGAATGAGGCGGAGGGAGAAAATGAAGAAACAGAAGTGGAAAATGAGGCAGAAGAAGTGGATGATAGCGTAGTAGCAGAGGGTGATGAAACAGCTGAAAATGCTGTTGCGAGCTCATCACATATACGTTCACCGACTTTTGATGCGGCAACTGGACGCTGTGAGTACGCCTCTGGTTGGGTTTGTGAACATCGTTGGCCACCCATTGTACAAATGATACAGTTGGTGAATACGCTTAGCGAGTTGGAGGATGGCGTCATCAATTTCCAAACGGATGGTCCGAATCACATAGCCTTCTGTCGTGGCAACAAAGCATTCTTTGTGTTTAACAGCGATCTACAGTTGGCTTACGATGCCGATGTTGAGACTTGTCTACCGGGTGGTACGTATTGTGATGTGATTAGTGGTGGACGTGCGGAGAATGGTGTATCTAGAACGGATTGTGCAGGCAAGCGTATTACAGTCGATGCAGAGGGTAAAACGCATATAATGCTGCCAGCTGTGTTGGGCGTTGATGAAGAGGACGCTGCGGTCGGAAGTGATTATGATGAAACGGATGTGGAGGCGAATGATGCCTACGGAATCGCAGCAGGCATGGATGGAGAATTTGGTGTGCTAGCTATATATGAAGGATCGAGAATAGATAAAGAAGCGCAGACAGACGCCGGACAAACTTCGGTAGGTGCAGATGAAGATGAAACTGTAACCGAAGCAGTTGCAGAAGATGATAAAGAGGACGCAGCTGACGCGGAGAGTGTAACCGAAACTGTGGATGTAACAAAAGAGGTTATGTCGGCTGAAGAGTTGGAAGATGAGGTGGCAGAGACAAAAAAGAACGCTAAGCTTGAGGAAGCGGCAACTGATGCTAGCATCGGAAATGAGAATGCAGAAGATGAGACACCAGCAGAAGATGCCACTACAGTTGATGAAGTAGCTGAGGAACAAGTTAGTGAACAGGGAGAAGATGAGCAGCCAACAGTTGACGGCGAAGAACCTACAGTAGATGATAACCAAGAAGAGATACACGAAGCAGTTACAGAGCTAACTAAGGAATTTGAGGTAGCCGTAGCTGATGAGCCTGCAGCAACAGAAGCGAGTAATAGCGAGAACACATCAGACGAGGTAGTCGTAGATCCTCCCACAAGTGAGGAAGCAAGTAAGGACGATGAGACAGTGAGAGAGGATGAAACAGCTACAACCGCAGTTAATGCGGACCAATTTGCTCCTAATGTAACTGGACTGCGAGTTGGTTTAGTAAATATAGAGAAAGTCGTTAAAGACTTCGAGAATACTGCGGGAGACGATAATGGATCAGGAATAGTGACAGGAGTTAAAGAGATGACCGATAGTGTTGTAGAGAAAACTAAAGAGGTGAGTGTGAGATTAAAATATTTTTTATAGTAAACGTGTAAGTATTGTGCATCTCATTTTCCAGTGCGGGAAAATCATAAGATTTTGAAACTTTTTGAAAATTGTCAAAAATTCTGAGAGAATTTTCCAATACTCGGTTCAGTTCAGTAATTTTAAACAGTTTCTTCGGTGCTACTACGAAAAGAACGGAAAAACTAGTTTTACTACTGACGAGTTGTTGAATTTTGCTCTCCGAGAGTTAGTTGAAGGCAGAGCAGCAAAACGTTTGGTTGTCTAATTGCAGTTTTTCAATTTCGAACGTTAGCACGATAGTGCTTTTTTATATCTGACTTAAGTTTCCGACAACAAACTATTTCGTTCCCAAAAGTACGAGTATAAGGGACTTTAGACCCTTGGGTTATTTAACTAACAGTCTACAAGCCGACGCTCTGTCGTGTGTGGTTAAGCTACAAGTAAATTTAACGAGCACAATGCAGCTTTGAAGTCCAATATGGAATTATATATCCTTAGAACGAAATGACGAAGTAGGTCTACTCTGTATTAGAACGACTAAAAGCAGAAGTATTTGGCTTCACTTAAGGTTTCACACCGACTTATGCGGTGTGGCGACCTTGCTAAACTCGCTAATGTCGTAAATAACTTTATTTGAGGGTTGCCGCCTTTGTTAATTGCTATTCTGGAAATAATTATTTAGAAATTAATTATTTAGTCACTTAATAGAGATATCGACCTGAAATTTTGCGTACATCCTTTTCTTCTCAAGAAACGGCTCATTTGTAGAAATTGTAGGAATCACCAATTTTGAACTATTATAGCATATAGCTGCCATACAAACTCAGCGATCGAAACTAAGTTCTTGTAGGGGAAACTTTTTTATTTGAAAAGATATCTTCACGAATTTCTTCATGCGCTATTATTTAAGGCAACGTTAGAATCTGCGAAGAAATTGTTCAGAGCGGATCACTATAGCATATAGCTGCCATACAAACTGACCAATCAAAATCAAATTTTGTAAACTTTTTTATTATTTTTGATATACTTACTACCGTCTTCATTATAGCATCATCCATTAAATGGACTTAATACATAATTAAGTCTTAAATGCGCAGTTTAAAAAATGTTACAATTTCATAATTAAGAAAAAAATTTAATCAATTACTAAAAAATATTAATTACTTTGTTTATCTTCCCATCTTCACAGGTCATTGCCAAGGCCGGCTTCAATAATATGGGCGCCCGCAGCACGCAAAGGTATGAAATCGCCTCGGCGAAATCTTCGCTAACCATCAATCCACGTTAGTCATCAATATAAAAACAACAACTAATTTATTTACTCTCCATTTCAGCAATCAATTTTGCAGTTTACTGATACTAATCAGTGCCATTTTACTAAATTTGTAGAGCACTTAAAGCAAGCGAAATGAGAAAAGTGAATTTTCATTTTATTCCATTAATTTAATTTTCTTTTATTATAAATTTGCTGCCATTTGCACAAAATAAATGTAAAAGAAAATAGAAAATTGCAATTGTCAATTGACTGTTAGTTGTTGTTGTTGGCACATAGTGATCGTCTGATAATGCCCACTAAACAGTAGAGGTACAAGGAAATGTAAGCAAATAGCCGGCCTAAAAGGTAGGCAGTCCTCAGTACAACAACAAAACAGCGCTACCACACACCTTTAGTGCCCGGAAAACCCCGCCGCACAAAGCAACTTATCGCATGTTGACCATCTGCGAACACAATGGCTAGGCACAGCCTCAGCAACGCACCACCCCACCACCGCTTACCTCTTTCTTTTTTACACGAGCGCAAAATCGCGATTGTCGTAATGCTCACTAAGTTGCTATAAATTGAAAACGGAAATAAAATGTAAAGCATTCTAGCAGAAAGGGGTGCACAAGTGGTGAGTCAACTACAAAACGAGACTCTGCAATTCAATTTCATTGCATTCCTGCGAACATACAAATATAAGTACGAACACACCATGCGAGGCGCACTAAGTGACTCCATGAATTGAAGTGTTATTTAGTGGCAGGCTTACGCTCTTGTTGTTATTGTTGTTGTTGTTTTTTTGTGTATATATGACCATTTGAATTAAAGTAGTTACAAGGCTGTGCACTACACCTTGGTTTGCTTATAGCCTTTCTACCAAACGCCCCTGCCTCACTCACTCCCTCCTGTCCTCGCCCACTTCTCTTAAGTACTCATTTTGCTATCGTTGTGTTCAATTATACCCGTTTTCTGCAACATTACCTTCGACGCTTAGCCGGTACTAGCAACTAACAAGCGCAATCTACAATCAACTACTACAACAACAACAGTAATAGCAACTACAACATCAACTGTTAAAAGTAGTGGTACGTACAAGTACACAAGTGTGTTGTCAACAATTGAAATCTCTCTGCAGAAGTGTCCAAGTTGCTGTCCCAATGTCGTTAGTTTATATATAAATATGTGTGTGTGTAGGTGTGCAATGGTTATCTTGCTATTTTCCAGTTAGGCAGTGACTACTGATACCGTTGAAAATGCCGGTGTTGGTATCACTCACTAATCGGTAAGTACAGTGCAGGTGTGTGTGTAATTTTTGGGGGATTCATTTCCGGTGTGAAATTTGATAATTGAAAACTAGATCTGGCGATAAAAATGGAAAAATGGAAAATAAGTAATAATAAAGTCTTTAAACGGAAATAAATAAAACGAATAAACATATTTTATTTTTCAACAGCGATGAGCTCTTTTACACGTATGTGATTATCAGGAGGTTCGTATTCAGAGCTTTGGAACCTGCTAATAATATATAACGGTATATTAGTTTAAGTTAGGACAGCTGATATAACCTGTGCTGGATCTTCTATCTAGTGTCTATTTAGTCACTCTAAATTGTTTAGTTTTCTATGCTACAATTTCTGAAACAAAAGAAGCATATATATATCGACCAAATAGACTGAGCGCATCATATATAAGGCGACAATCTTTAGACAGATAGTTTAATAGTATGACTCAAGAAATTATGACCAGGTCTTGGTCATTATGTCTATTATAGAAATTGTGTGGCGTTACTGCCTTAGCATTAATCGGACAATGACTTAGAGAAACACGAGAGTTATTGAGTACAAGACCTTTGTAGATCTCCCATGATTTCCATTGCATCCGAAAGATTTTGCATAATTATTGCGTTAGTCCGGCTTTAGCTGAACGCTTCCTTTCCTACAAACTCGTCAACCCTACCACGTTTCCGATATATTTTAGTATACTCCGCCATTTACATATATGTGAGACTGTGAGGATACAGCTTGAAGTTATGGAAAGTGAGATCCAGCGGTACCTTACCTTACTTCAGGACGCCCTTAGAGAATTGGGTGTCAACCTCATTCTCTGTTATTGGAGTGAAAGTATATCTTTGAAGCAGCACACACTATAGTTTGAAAGAACGCTCCTGCAGTCAGGAATTCGGCGGTAGGGAAAGTCAAGTAATTAGGCTACTGTCTGTATGCTTAGGTTTTTAATTTCAATTTTCGCCAACGCAGGTGGATGCCTATAATGTTGAGATATGAGATAGGCACAGTTTTCTTCCAAACAGCTGTTATTATTGCCAAAAGATAAGATTTTTAACCTAACCGCGTGGACACCAAAAATACAATGACCAGTTTTAATCCCAACAGCAAGAGAAAGCCTCCACACAGGTAACGATAGTTGCCAAGCCTCCACCCGCCGGGCTTAGCTATCCAATAGTAACCAGCAGGAGGTCAGCGGAGCTTCAACTGTTACCACAGTACATTGTAAAAGCATAAAAAGAGTGAAAGTAATGAGATTAAAGTCAAGAAAGTTTGTTGAATTCACTACAAATAAGTTTAGGTGCTTATTTTGTATTCTCGTCAGCTCAGCTGGATATCTAAAGCAGCGAGATCTGACGTGTTTAAGCTTTTGATCTTGAAAATGCGGGACAATTGAGAAGAAAGTGCTAAGATGTTTCTATCTCGTCTTCTTTCAAGCAGTTCCTACAATTACGTGAATACCAATAGGACAATGATCAGTTGCAATCCCTATAATTACAGAATGAATAACCTTGCTGAAAATAAATAGCTCGCTGGCTCTTTTAATAGTCCATTGGTCCATACGGATCCTGCGACATAGGTACAGATACCGATAGTTGCCAAGCACTCACCAAGCTCCGCCAGTTCCAGCTATACAATAGCATCAGTAAGCGAACAGCGTAGCTTGACTCGTTCTCCTTCCAAAGGTAGCGAGGATGAGGTGCTCTTCTTTGCCAGCTCATTAGCTTTGCAGTTGCTGGCCTGGTTCCGCGCTGGCCTGATTCCCAAATTACCCTATGTTGTTGATAGTGAGATCCATAACTAACCTCGAGTGCACGGTTAGTGAGTTCAAGGCTAAGCATTACCACTGTAATCACGGAGTGAACAGTCAGTTCCATAAAGGATGTTGCACTCCGGGGCAATAGATCAAAAGCAAATCCCAAAAACGCTACAAAAGCCAGAACTCCGCCACCTACCCTCTGCCAAGCTTTGATCCATGCGTAAAGAAATGTAGTACCTCTTTCCTACCCATATCTCTCTTGCGAGTATGTTGGTAGGAAGAGGACCGCCAAACTTTTTTGTGTTAGAAATTAATTTTTGCTGCGCCTCTGCCTACATATCTTCTACTATATTTTAATTTTTTTACTCAAAATATGTGCACAAACATCAATAGAACCATTTTGTGAAATCAGAAAAGAAGGTTGCCTAAGTGTACCAATTTTTGTCTTCCAATTGACCTTCTAGTACCAAATACTTTCGATTGCTTAGAAGCCTCTCAGTTGATTGGTGAATATGCAATGTACAGTACGGATATGTACTTGCGCCCGGAATTGCTTCCCACATATCAACTGGTGCCTGCATTCGGCATTCTTTCCATAAACAGCCTCTCTGCTATCTCAACCAATTATCCACACTAACCCTGCTACTTGCTTACTAACCCAATTTGAAATGAGATGCTGAGCTGAATTTACTAAAGACCCCAGCACTTGATGCCAGTCAGTTTGGACCTGGACCGAAGTTTGGGTTTGTAGGTGCCTATTTCTGTATGGGCCTGTTCTGGTAAGTGTTGGCATAGAGCTGCTTGTTGCACGCAATGCAACTCGGTTTTATTGCCCTACAAGCTACAAACAACAACACGATTCTTTGCTCGGTAAACTTTTTTTCAAAATTCCTGCACTTTTCTTGCAATCGGTTTGAGTAGAAATGGAAGTGATTTCATTTGCCAACACTTGAAGTCAACTTATGTGGCAACATGCATTAGTTACAAACATATACATGTGTGTAAGTACAAGTATGTAGGTAGCTAATAGCATCGATTTTCTTTTTTAAATTTATTCCGCAGCGAAATAGCTTTGGCCGAAGCTGGCGAGCATTTATGTGAAAGCTCAAGTGTAAGTTCATAGATTGCCTGGTTATTACAGGTGTGGTTGTTGTTGTTTTTGTTGGCAAGCGAGTAATATAAGTAAGTTGCAGCTTATTACCGTTGGCCAACAGGTGCTGAAGCGTAATTGAAAAATCTGTAGATTTTGAAAAATCGAAAAATTGTTGCGAAATACCGTAATTGAGTGGAAAGCAGTGTAGTAGCACAAAAGGAATTGTAGTGGGTTGCAGCTATAACGCTTAATCGTAATAAAATTGCATTCGCTATTTGTTAACACCGCATTGTTCGTCGCTGCCGTCCTGCCGTGGCACATGAATCTTTTTTTATAGAATTCGATTATTTTGAAAATGCCAACATGTTCCACCCACAAGTACACGCCCACTTTGCACCACTAATGGCCCACATTATTCGCTGCCTTTACAGAATCAGTTTCGCGTTGAAAATAGCGTAAGAGTGCTTTATGGCAATTGCTGTTCAATGCAGTGCGCCAAAAAGTATGCAGTGTACCTCATTATGTGCGCCGCGCCCAGGGTTGTATTTGTACGAGCTGCCTTTGTTGTTAGTTGTTGCTGCTTCAGCGCACTCTGAGTCCTGATTTATGCTTATAATCTTTGTTTGTTGTGATTTTCGTTGTAACTATTTGACTTTTCACGCTTGTACTGTTGTTGTTAACTAAAGGGTTGAATTTTGTAGAGCGGGCGCAATTTTGTACCTGAAATGAAAAGTTTTAGTTTAGGTAGTATGGTAGAAACACCGATAAGTATGAAGTTAGATTGAGATAATTTTAAATAATTTCGTTGGCTTGGCGGTTGCATCAGCTTTGCAAATTTATGTGGTTGTTCCGCTAATGAGCTTTTTGACTTGCTCTTTTTGTGTTTCGAGATAACTAACCAAAAGCAATGAGGCGTGCCATAAAAAACTATGATATAATGCACGAGTCCTTATCAAAATTATCAAGTGGACGGGGCGAATTGAATTACGGATGCCTCTTTGTCCATCCGATTTGAAACACATATTATTATATATAAGATCTAGTAAAAAAAGTTCTATTATTTTTGCAATAGATGACCTTAGTAATCTATATCTTTCACCAAGGAAGGCCAA